CCTTACGTTCTTTACTAATTATTTTATCGGCTTATTCGGGAGTAGTACACTGCCGTAGTAACAAGTTTCATTCCACGGCATTTGGATAAAAGAACTATAAAGGTCCCAGTTGCTATTTCAGGGGAGCCACCTCAGGAGCGCGTAATTTGTCTGAATGGTATTTTTCTTTATAAACCTTCTATTGCCGTTCAACAATAAAATAAGCACGGATGAACAGTTATTGATTCAAAATAATTTAATTTTCGAAAGATGGTTACGATGAAGAAGATATGATCATTAACAAAGCTCAAGAAGCCATAACCGAATACAAAGTAATTGCTGGCACAGGCGGATACTCATTACTTTGGTTGTATCCACTTACTGGTAGAAAACATCAATTGAGAGTTCATTGTGCTTCTGTGTTGAATGGTAAGTCTAATTTGAGTAGCACGATATAAAAAAAACCGGGCGAATCAAATTGATTTTTATTGTTGTATAGCGCCAATTTTGGGAGACGTAAAGTACCGCGACACCACCAAGATTTTACCACATATCAAAAAACTGCAATCCCAAAATTCTAGTAGTAACTTTAATCCTATGCATTTGCATCTGAGTAAAATTGCTATACGGGTAAGCGAGAGACTTTATTATTCTTGAATGCGAGGATTAAGGAGAACCTTTTAATATTACATGCTTTTTTAGGACTGGAAACTTTTCAACGCGGTAGGAAAGGTAGTCAAGAGAAAAGATATAGAGGTGCATGCGCCATTACCTGACTACTTTCAAAAAACGACCTTGATGATATTTGGAATTGATGCGGATAATGATGAATTTTTAGCACGATATGTAGTATGATATACTAAACTTAAAGCGACGTATTCGTCGTACAGTGTAACAAGCTGCATTTTGCATTTTTTTGGCAATAAACAACCAATTTTCTATTCACTTTTGGTACTTTACCAAACCTTAACGGACGAGATTCTTCAATAACTGCCAAACGTCTTTGTCTATTCCTCTTTGCCATCATCGTCCCCTTGCTGTTTAACTTCAAAAACACACTCTTTCTAAAAGTGCATATAAAACTATCTTGGGAATCTGTGTAGCTACTCTTGTCTCCAGTGACATTTATCATTCTTGGTCTTTATTATATTCGAAGCGATGGAGGAACAAATGGTCATTGATCAGACATCTGCGCCAACAACCACAAGTACAACCCCGGTTGTTCACCACCACCAGCCAACGCCTCTAACGCTTACACAGAACTTCCAAGCAATCACGAGTAACCAGCAGGTGGTTTTAGATTGGAGGTGAGTAATTTTGTAATTTCATTCGTATGCTCGCGACATTTTCTTGGTTGCACCTGTGCAATGGTATAACGAAAAGATAGTCAGTTCGAGCGAGAGGGGAATTGAATTTAGACATACATTCATGTTAACGTAATGCTCACTCGGATAGATATGAGATGAGACGCCAAATGCAGGAAATTCTCCCTGGGCTCTTTCTGGGCCCATACTCGTGCTCAAAGAACTTGGAACTTTTAAAAGAAAAAAAAATTACACATATCGTATTCATACGTGACCCCTCAGAAAAGCAAATTCTACGCCCCCGTTTCCCCGAGCACTTTAAATATTTTGAAATCGAAGTGTCGGATCATCCGAATGAACGGTTAATCCCACATTTTCCACAGGCAAAAGCATTCATTGACGATGCACTCTTACATGACGGAAAAGTATTCGTTCACTGTAATGGAGGGATCTCGAGAAGTCCGGCTTTTGTGGTGGCGTATGTCATGGAGACTACCAAGATGGATTATCAACACGCATATGGATTCGTTCAAAATCGAAGATTTTGTATGAATCCTAATGAAGGGTTCAAAGTGCAATTAAAGGTATAATAATGTTAGACATTTACGTTTTTTCCAAAGATCTTTCACGAATACTTAAACATTGTAATATCTTAAATATGGGGTATGGGTACGTGAACAAAAGGAATATGAACCTATTTACTCAGCACGAAATTCGGTTAAGGAACATCCATACACTCAAACTGAAATTCAGAGACCAGCTTTACGAAGACCTGCAGAATTCGATGATGAACCGTAAGCGGAACATTATTACACATAATGTGATCATCCATTACTTAGACTATAAATTACCACTTTATTAATCTATTTTTGTTTTGTTTTGTTTTTTCCTTTTAATCATTTTTCTCATCAGAAATGAATTCGAGATCGCCAGGAGAGCGCCATCTTTTCATGAAGAATCCACGGTACAAAGGTGAAATCAAGATAGGCCACCACTTATTGTGAAAAGAAAAACCAAGAACAATGTTTGATATTAACTTCGTGTAGCATGTATGTGTTAATATTTGAATCCCATTATGTAAATTTGTGTGTATATTTGTGTCTTTTTTGTTATGAAACAACGACAGGCACATGCAAAATAATTGACAATATTCGTGATAATTCAAACAATCATTATTATTTATTAGCTATACGGGTATATATATATACGTACATGGTTCACTTTACATTGTCATTTTGATTGTAAGAGCAAGAATGTACAAATTATTAGAACTATATAGTTAACGTAATTTTGTTTGTTGTATGATATGCTAATATATCAAGTAATATTCATCTTACATAATCATTCGTTATTTCGCGATCATCAAGTCACCAAGTAAACATATTCCGAGATCACGAAACAATTTTTTATTTACTCGATCAAAAAAAAAACCAACTAACCTTACATACTTCTTAAGTTATATACAGATTTGTCGGGACCAAAATAAATAAGAAAAAAAAATTCTAATGATGATTAGATTTTTGCTGGAATCTTATGCCACCTGTTATTATGGAATGACCACATGAGTTATTTATTCATCATTCTATACGACATCCCTCGCCACAAAAAATATATTTAGTACTCACAATAACCACAAGCATGAGGTCCCTCTTGATCCTTTATTAAAAAAAATATTATATTAGCGAAATGTAAATAGCGTGGAAGTGATGGAATGAAGTGGATAATATACAGGACTTACCAAATT